ACCCCGCCCGTCCGCGCCGACAGCGCCCCCTTCGCCCCGCTGAGCTGCGCCGGTGCCAGGGACTGCGGCCCGGGAGCGCGCCAGGGACTCCGGGAACCGAGGAGGAGGGCGGGGGGCGAGGGCCACGCCCGCTGGGGGCGGTGGATGGGGGTTCAGGATCCGGCCGGGAGAGCAAGGCAGGGGTGGCACCGCTGACCGCGGCTCCCCAAAACCTCTGCCAACAGGGGGCGCATCCCAGCCCCTTCCCCTCCAATCGGTGCTGGGGACTCCGGGCCTTAGGATCCCTTAGAGAGCCCGGTGACCTTGCGGCCCCCCCCCACCTCGCTCATGCTCCGGGGCGCTACACCCCTCGCCCTAGTCTCGGCTTGTGGATCCCCAAGTCCCACCCTGCCAGGACCTTAGAGCGTGGGCGGCAGACCACTCCAGGACCCCCCACTCCAGTACCCTGATTGGGCCTGCACCAGCGGCCACCTCTAGCAGGACCCCACTGGCCCCTCCTGGACGCCCCACAGGCTGGAGAGTTCCGGCGGTCTCCGGGTGCACGCCAAAGCACTAGGCTCCGGATTGCAACCCGGATAATTTACCCGTGCGAGTCCGAGGTCAGACGGCGGGTAAGGGAAGATGGTGCGGCCGCCTGCCGCGTACAAACGCAAACCTCCTACTGTGCGTTGTCCAAGCCTAGCGTGCGGGCGCCCCCTGGAGGCGTAGACCCGCCCAACAGGAACGCCGGCTGGGAGGAGCCTAGGGGGGTAGTGAGGGGGAGGGTATGACGGTGCCCTCCGAGAGGTGAGCCTTAAAGAGGACCTGGAAGGTAAATAAGCAAGGGAAGGCCTCCCTGGTGAGCAGAGCTGAAGAGCAAAGACCTGGAGGCCAGAGCTTGGACTCTTTGCTCTCCCCGGCTCCCCCCAGCGGCAGCTGGAGGACATTGTTTCAGCTGGCCCTAGAGCAGTAGGCACCTCCGTTTGTCTCCAAAGCCAACTCATAAACACCTTCTTATCTGTGGGCCACGGGGCGGGCAGTTACCACTGGCCCTCCCCCTGCCCAGGGGCTGCCCTTCCCCCACCCCCAGGGCCACCCTGGCCTAAACAGAGCAGGGGCAACTACGAAGGGGGTCAGAGTCCCCCGGACCCCTCCTCCTCCCTGTCTCTGCTAGTCCGCTCCTCTCAGCCCCTGTGGTAATGGATCTGTGGGGAGCTAGGGTACAGGAAGACACCCTGGGGACCTCCTGCCCCCACTGGCCCCCATGGGCAGGGGACTGAGGACTTCCTGCCCCCTCATCCCCCGTCCTGACTCCTCCAAGGCCCTGACCCTGGCTGGGCGGGGGCACTGCCTTCAGTAGGCTGGGGACTTCTGGGAGGAGGCTACCGCCATCTCGGTGGATTGATTAAAGTCATTGTGGGTTTTTTTTTTTAACATTTAATTTGCCAAGCACACGGCGGCCAGTCAGAGCTGTCCCTGGGGAAATCTAGGCCAAGGGAGCAAAACAGGAAAACCTCGGGCAATCGCGCAGAGCCCTTCCGACGGGATTAATTGTGGAGCTCGGCTTCCAATCAGACCTGAACGCAGCAGTATTTCAGGGAGGTGGGGGACGCGGGAGCGGCCACCATTCTGCTTGGGACATTTGGGGCCCTGAGCCCTCAGTACACCATTCTACCCCAACTGCTGGGTGACACTGGGGCAACCCCCGCGTGTCTCTCAGCCTCCTGGTGTCCACAGGCGAGTGAGTGGGAAGGAACCAGCCCCTCCTGGGCGCCCCCCCTCCCCAACCAGCCTTTAAAAGAAGGGGCCAAACCTTTCTGACCAGCAATCTGAGAGGTAGGAAGGCATCCCCTTGACACATGTCCATAAGTACGCAGAGGAATATAAACAGCCTTACACCTGGCGGCAGTTACACCTGTGGTCGTGAAGAATGGGACACCCGTGTGGGCATCGCTAGGGAAATGGCCAAATAAATTGCAGCATTTTCTCCTAGGTAACAGCGGACAGCAGAATAGAGAAAGGGGTGAAGTGGCCCAGACACAGTGCAGGACACAGAACGTCTGTATTTTCAGAGAGCAGTTATGTCTGCAGAGACCTCGACCACTTCTCCTCCACCCATCTGTCACTTTATCATACTCTAGCAGTATGCATGTTGCTAGAAGCTACGCCACCCATATTTCAAATACCCGCAGGGGCACCCACAGTGGACAGGTTTCAACAGAGCTTCCAGACTAAGACAGACTAGGAAGAAAGGCCTGGCAATCTACTTCCGACCATTAGCTAGTGAAAGTCCTCTGTACAACAACACTAGAAGAGGACATCCTGGTTAGCAGAGGGTCGTCGACAAGAAGGGAATCCGTCAGCGAGATGGATTGACTCAACAGCCACAACACTGGACTCAAACGTAGCAACAATCGTGAGGATGGCGTGCGACCAGG